GATTGCCACACCTTGAAAGACATCATTCCTGTCCAGAAGACATATGTACACAATCTTAGGAAAAAAGGCTGTGCACGCCCGAAAATTAATACACAGCACTTTATGAACACCTTTGTAAATAGGTTGATGTTTAAGCTCCATTTATTGTAATGACATACTTTTTAATTCATAATATGTATGTAGATTTTTGTTGTGGTTTTTCCAAATTCACTGTCACATAAGATATGTAGTTTTATCTTATGATGGAATAAAGACTTTATTATTATTATTATTAGTCAGTAATGAAAAATCTCAGTATGCATGAAATAAAAACATCACATCAATGGAAGTGCTTGGACTATTTTTACTTTCTCTTGTTGCAATGCATCCAAAATTTGATTGTTTGCCACGCTCAGGTCTTCGCTTTTTTTTAATGCATATTGTGATTAAAAATCATTTGTGTAGAAACACAGTTCTATTGCATTTTCCAAGAATGTAGATTGAATTGTGGACTTCAACTTCAAATAACACAAGTAAGAAAATGAGCCAGGCTTCTCAATGAATTATGTTTTTTTATTCTGACTTGAAGGAAAGAAAAGTTTCACTCTAGAATCTCTTTAGTAGTTTTCCAGGGCAGGTCCTTCTATATAATTTTGTTTGCAAGTACATCCTATTTAGGTTGAAACATAATTTTTGAAATTAGTACTTATCAGTTGATAAGTGCACTGTATTTGTGTTGCTCTTTTATGTTACTTTGTTTGACTATGGAAATCTGTCTTTGTCAGATATTTATTATTTCCATCAAATGCAATTTAGAAAAATTCCTTTAATGATATGGGAGACATTTACATGTACTTGTGCATGGAGTATATTATTATTTTTCCGGCTCAAACCGCTAAAAGTAGTGTTGGGGAAATTGTTTTTTTTGTTCTTGTCAATTTAATTTGTTTACCTTGCTAGAAGAGGGGAAAATCTTGCCAATTATTTTAGGAAGATTGAGAGATTCATGGTTTTCTTGACAAAGACAGCTGTTGATGCCTTGCTAATTAGCTCAGGAGGTCATCCATTCTCAGGGTAACAGCTTGTCTCTTAGCAACAGAATCCACTCTAGGTCATCACTGTATCCAATGAAAAACTTGTAATTCACAATGGTGATATGTTGTGTAATGCATTCCTTACAGGTACCAGAACTTTTTAGCTAGAAACCTGTCTTGTTTCTGTGGGATTTAAGATAATTTAGTAAAAAAAAATCATAGAAAAATTTATTCGGTAGAAATTGAAAACCTTGGACTCCAAGACAGATCTAATTCAAAACAGGTAAAAATATAAATTAGCATATAGTAAGTGAGTGTTCGTCATTTGCATAATCATTTTCAATAAATTTAGGGCCTGTTCATACTTTGGTTGTTATATTCTTGGCTGGTTTTGTACTTGTGGTTTTGCTGCTGGCAGGATTGTATATAGAAAACAAATGCATTCATGGTGGACTCTCTTTTTAAACACGAGGGCTTCATGGGCTGATTGCTTATTTCACATTGGAAACCTGAGGGCAGAATTCTTGACTTTTTCAAGATGATTGCTCAGTTCTTACGTGTCGAGTTCATGCTACCACTTGAAATGCAACAAGTCAGTTAAAGATATCAATAATAGTGGACTGCAGAGAGGATTTTGGGGACAGTTCTATTGAACTGAATTTATATTGAAATTAATTTTTATCATCACTGCCTACTGATCTTTGATGCTGTTTGAAGATGAAATTGTCTGGTCAAGGTTTGTGTGTATTTTCTAAGGTTGTTTTCCTCTCTGGTTAAATGAATTATGGATTAGTAACTCCTAAATTTATTGTTATGGTTGTCTGTTTTTTTTTTGGTAGCCATTTTGTAGTGGTTCATCTTTATTTATTGTGTTCATTGGGTTTAAGCTTACAGGTACCTGCAGTAGAAATGGATTTACACCTCTTAAAACTTTCTCAGTGCTTTCAACCAAAGGTTATATTTCAAGTGTTTTCTTGACAAGGCCCCATTTCAGCTTGGAATCAATACATATTTTTGCAACATTTTTCTTTTCTGGTTTTAAGCCTATCTCCTTGTGGTATCTTTATTATGTTGTTAGAAATTGTGGCAACATGCAAATATATGTAAATTTTCATGTCATGCATTTTGATTAAATAGGATCACTGCCAGTTGTTATTTGCAGATTTTCGGGTATCAAATTATGGTGCAACAATCATCAGTTGATGTTGCATGTATTTCCCTTTATTTGCCTTAAAAATTATCCAATTTCTTGCATGAAAATGTAATTCATTGCATGAACAGTTCCAAGTTGAGTAGAAAACAATGTCCTCAAAGTGTTTTCATTTCTTGTGATGTTTTTGTGGAGATTTGCAAGGCAAAAGTCACGGAAGAATAGCTTTTTGGTTTACAATGATGGAGAATCAATCAAATCAGGATCTACTGGATCAAGGCAAAAGCTTTGCACAAGTTGTCCTTGGTCTTGTAAATGTGGTATAGGTAAATAAAGGTACTTCTTTGAACAAGTTAGGTTTAACAAAATTTGTTTAACTCTGTCAAATTGAAATTGTTTTCCATTGTAGAAACATTTAGTTTTTAGACTTCCAAATGGTTTTGCAGATTCTGAAATTCTCCTTGGTAATATATTAAATATCATACATGTACATTTGTGAATTTTGTATTATATTTTCTCAAGTGCATTTTACACAACTGCATTTTACAAATGGTTGTCTTTTGTAGTCAGCACAACAGATAGCACAAAAATATTTTTGCATAATCCCATCCTTTCACCTAACAATAGTTTAATTCTGGCTTCCATTTACTAAACAACTGCGATATTTCCTTTTTCATTATTTTCTGTTTTCCAAAACGGTTTTTTATTGATTAATTCCGTTGTTGCTTTGCCAGTTGCTTATTAAGGTACATTGATTTGGTACAGTTATTTTATTTTATGGGACCATTATTTCAGTTGGTAAATATTTCTCTACTGACGGTTTTCTCCATTTTGAGCATTTTTAATTTAAAATATCAAACTTTACCTTGAGAATTTTATTGGAGATCATTTTTATGATAAAGTGCTTCTTGAAGGCAGCTGAACACAATTCAAGTAATGTTATTATTTATTATGCCAGTAACTGCTTTCTCAAAATTATGCTTTTCCAAGGGTTTCAGGCAAAGGCAGATTTGCATTACCCTGGAGTTAACATTATTTGACTTTTTCACCTTCAAGCACTTTGGACTTCTACATAACATGAAAATTTTGCAGGAGTTTGTTTTGGGATAGGCAATGTTTTTGTTATGCAGCAACAAGTTTTTGTAGTGAAAGGTAACATTTATTTGTTGGGAATGAGGTTTAACTGTGTTCAGTTCAAGCTGAAGAACATTAATTTGGAAATAAGAAGCTTATTTCCTATTTTCAAGCAAGTCTAACACACTTAATACAGAATGATGGATTGAAAAGCAGCCTTTCTCATTTTAATGAAGCTAGCAAATTCTTCCAGCATTTTATCTTGTGAGATTTATTTCAATTAAAATATATATCTGGGGATAAAGATACGTCTGTAAGATTATCTTTGTTAGGAGCACATTGTGCATGTATTTTGGTTCTTATTGTTTGTGAAAATAATGTTGAAGGTAAATTTTAAAGACAATACTTAGCAGGAGATTTTTTCTGATGTTATTTCAGGGATTAGTAGATTTGTAACGTTAGTTTCAATAGTATTTTGATTACATACATACATACACATACATATGTTTATTCAAAGCATTTGAAAACAAAGATAAATGTGCAAAGAATGCTTTAAAAAGGGAGTTTAGAAGGTTGGGCCTATGTAAAAAACTCCTAAAAGAAAAATCTTAAAAATATTCTAATATTAAGATTCTAGTACTACGAAATATTTAACAATGAACCTAAAGAATGCTTAAAACATTGCGGTGGTAATCTTGTAATAACAGTTTTAAATAGCTTTTAATCAGTATTTAATTTGTGATTTTACCCGCGGTGATATTAGCGTTGTTAGTTGTTAGGTTTTTATTAGGTGTTAGGTGGAATACCTGTAAACTAGCTCTTAAGCTTAGCATATTTCCACATTAAATAAAGTATGTATGTATGTATGTTACAACTTTTTTAAGGAAGGATTTTGATTAAGGAATGTTGTAGTGGAAGAAAAGTGTTAGGAAACTAGTTAACATTCTACATATCTGGGAAAAAGTTACTTGGCCCCTTGAAATTTATTTAGAGAATTCTGTGTGATGCCACAGAATTCAATGATTTTTACTCCCAAATTCTCTGGACTGACTGTCATACTTTGAAATCAATTTTATATCGAGACAACTCTCTAGCTGATAAGCTTGTCAGTTCTCATAACCTGTTTTTCAGATAGCATATTGGTATTGCTAGGCGAAGTTACAATTTAATCACTTTCAATTGATGAGTTAAAGGATTAAGCTGTGATTTTTCAGGCAGCTCTTAAGTAAAGTGTTTTCTTTCTTGTTTTATTCCAGATGAGGAGGAGGATACCAACAGTGAAAAAGCTGAGAACATCAAACCACTGAATGCCAAGCTTGAAGACCTACAGACTTGCAATGATCTTGTAGGCAAGCATGGCTCAGCCTTGCAGCGTTCCATTGTCGAGCTTCAGGAGGTGGAAGATAATCCTTCCTTGTCTGCAAAACTCAAGTTTGTGAATGAAAAAGCTACTCTTTTTCGGATAACAGCAAATGCCATGATAAGTGTGAGTAACAGAGCACAAGTGTTCAAAGGCTAACAGGACTGGAATGAAGCTTGTGAATAGCAAGTTCTCAGACACTGTAAAATGTTTAGGAAGCTAGGCATACAGTTATTTTCTGTGGGAGGAAGCTTTTTCTTTTCATATAGTGTCCCTTTTTGAAAATATTGTGGTGCAAGTTAGTGTTACTGTATTATTGGTGGTAGTGTTTTGGTTTGTTGTGTTCTGAAAGATTTTGCTCTAACTGCTTACTGAAAATGGCGTGACAATCACACAATAATGAACAGGGTAATTACTTTTTTCCCATGTAACATAAAAAAAATTGCATTTTATTTTCTGCCATCACCAAATTCATTATGAAGCTTGACATTTTTTCACTAAGAAACTTTTCTTTTGATTATTTTCTATTTACAAGATTTTATTGAAAGACAGTTTTGAATAGATTTGTTATTTATTAAATTCTTCACTGTCTTTCATCACCGGATGTTAATCAAATTTACACTTCATAGCCTTCAATTCATATTTATTGGAGTCTTATACATGCTGATATAAAAGTCTAAAATGTCTCTGTTGTGTATCTTAACAGGCATGTGCAGAGTTCCTGGAACTTGCTCAGACACAGGAAAAGAGGTGGCAGAAGAGTTTACAGCTAGAGCGTCAGCGAAGAGTAAATCTTGAAGAGACTGTAGAAGCCTTAGCTAAACAGCACAATATCCTTGAGAGAGCTTGTCGAAAAAATACATCTGGAAAGTTACCTGATTTACCAGAATCTGAACTGGGTCGTGACAGTGACGATGAAGAGGAGTTGGAAGAAGATGAGGAAAATGCTGAATTTTTTGACGCAATAGCAGAACACCCTGAAGGGTTCACATTATCTGTTAGCAAAAGCCGTGAGAGTTTACAAAGCTCTAGTTCAGAGCAGAGTGTTGGTATGGATGGAGAGAATGCCAAACCCCTATTGGCAAGAACTTTGTCAGATACAACTGGACAAGCTACTGCAGAAATAAAACAGGAAGCATCTAAGGACAGTGTAACTGGAACATCTGAAACATCAACTGTTAAGGACACAGAAGGATTAGATCTTTTCAGAGATGGTAGATCCATCAGTACTGGTTCAAATAACAAGGCAGTCATGGCTCCTTTTACTGTTGGAGGCTCCTTTGCTGTCACTGTTAGTATCTGTTTAATTTTTTTTCCCTTAAATAAGTGTTTTTTTACTAACTAAGTATACCATCCACACAGTAAATGCCCAGGCCATAAATCAAAGGATTAAAAATTAAGATCAGTAGCTTAAAGTACCAACAAAGAGGATAGGGTTAGCAAAATATTTGTTTTATCTTCACCTTGTGTCTGATTGGTTTTTAGTAAGTTTACTAGTCATGTAAAAATGTTTCAACTGACTGGGTTAAAGGCATGATTTTATGCCCAATTTCAAGAAAATGCCCATGGAAAGTATGAATGACATTGGCAATAAATGATAAGTAACTTTGGAAAACAAAGACAGCTTTATGGTTTTGTGGTTCATACAATTCACTAGAGCCCTCCAAATTTTCCCACCACATGTAGTAACCAAAAGATAATTATAGGTGAGTTCAAGCCAGAGACAGCTAAGGAAATTATAATGAAAACTACAAGGAGATTTTGTTACAGCTTATGAGAATCCAGGGAAGTTTTCTAGGCTTACTGTGGCATTCTTGCAGCCCAAGTCATTTTGCATGTTCATCTAGTCTATTTGAAATGTTGAAAACCACAGGAATGGGGGCATCAAGCCAGTGCTTGAGAATAATAGATTGCATTTTATATTAACCAATCAATAATCAATTCACTATATCAGGCACACAATGTAATTCTTGCTTATTTTCTCATTTTGTGCACAAATCATGGAGAATTGATGTTCCTGAAACAGTGTTAGGCATTGTGAGGAGCCATTATCCTATTATCCCCTCCAAAAGTATGTTTTGAGGCAATTAATTTATTGATGTGTTTTCTTTAGCAATCTACTGAAAGGCTTGGGACAAAGCAATTCAGGAATGAGATTCCAGATAAACCAGACATCAGCATAAACTTGTGGAGCATTCTGAAGAATTGTATAGGAAAAGAGTTATCTAAAATACCCATGCCTGTGAGTAGATGGGACTTTTGCATGTTTGTTTCTGTTCATGTTAATTACTGGTAACAAATTCCTGATATTTATGTAATTTTGTATGATTTCTAAACACTTTTACTCCCATGCTGTGAATAGGGGTTCTTCTCCCTAACTGCCTCACATTTCCCAGTAAATATTCAGAAAATACAAGGTTTTGTCAATGTAACACCACCCAGAAAAGAAGTTCCAAGTCTTTTTTCTCAACCTGTTTGCTTTTAGTTGTAGCTGCAAACATAAAGACCAAAGCAAGGTCTCACTGTATCATGATAAGAACAGGGCTCCACACTAATGGTAGCCAACTAGCCACAGACTAGTAGAAATTCAGTTTTGGCTTGTGGTTAGTAAACAAACTGAAATAGTTGGAACATCTAAGTTGTCACTAGCCACTTGGATGATAAGTTGAAAAGTTAGTGTTGAGCCCTGTGAGAAGATACTTGGCTGTTCATCTACTGGATTTAAACCTGTTTAGATGATAGTGGCACCTGATTCAAGTTGTGGAAGTAACCTGTTGTGTAGGAGGTGAAGTTTGAACTTCAAATTCTTGGCAATGCAGTTTATGTTCTTCCAGATCTCCTTCAACCTACTGAAGAATATGTTTAACCATCATCTTATCCTGTTTCCATCATTTTATCCTGTTTCCATCATTTTGTATCTTCTTTTGCCCATGCTTGCATTCAGTGTTGGCTATTTCCCTCATCAAAAATTCTTGGCAATGCAGTTAATGTTTTCCCAGATTTCCTTCAACGTACTGAAGAATATGTTTAACCATCACCGTATCTTGTCTCCATTATTTTGTATCTTCTCCCCTTGCTTGCATTCAGTGTTGGCTAAGATTTTTGTTTCAGTCATTTTTTCAATATTCATTGTAGGTGAACTTCAATGAGCCAATTTCAATGCTTCAGAGGCTCACAGAAGAGCTTGAATACACAGATCTTTTAGACAAGGCTGCAGCATGTGAAACATCTACAGAACAGATGTGCTATGTAGCAGCATTTACAACATCCTCTTATTCCACAACTGCCGCAAGAACTGGAAAGCCATTCAACCCCTTACTTGGTGAAACCTTTGAATTTGATAGAACAGAAGATTTAGGATGGCGATCACTTGCTGAGCAGGTATTTCATATTTGATAAGTATAGATTCAGATAGTAGTTCTACTAACACTAACTTACCATATGCAAGTCAGATAACATACCATGTCAATGGAAACACTAACAAAAAAGTAGAGGATGGATCATTCACCCTTGGAGTGACCAGCACGTAATTTCTCCCAATGGCAACAGCTACAAATCACCCATTAAGATGATGAGAATAATGGAAATGATCACAAACTAAAGAAGTTCTTTATTGTTAAACAAATTCTCCTTGTCAGCAGCTTAGGAAATGTCTAAAGAACAGAATGGAGAATATGTATACTGATGTTAGGGAGTTAAGAGGGAACTGTTCCAATATCTACAGTATTTGTGATGCAATGTAACTACTGGGGAAAATCACCTAGATAGACATTCCTACAACATTCATGGCATTCTGCTTAAAAGGTGGCAAAAAATGTAAGATCAAGAATTCTTTGTTGAGTTTCATGGAAGTTCATAGATCTTTAAAAGCTTCAATTTATGACTTTTTCGCCAAAAGCTTTCAGCAAAAAGTGTCAGTTGTAACTGAAAGACTTCAATGTTAAAGAAATATGTGGTATTTATTTTAGGTGAGCCACCACCCCCCAGCATCCACCCTTCATGTTGAGCACAAAGAGTGGATCTTCTGGCAGGAATTCACTTGTACAAGTAAATTCCGTGGCAAGTATTTACAAGTCATTCCGCATGGTGTTGCACATCTCAAGTTTAATAAGTCTGGAAATCATTACACATGGAAAAAAGTTACTACTACTGTCCATAATATCATTGTTGGGAAACTGTGGATTGACCAGGTTAGTTGAGAGATCTGGTAATGAGATCTGAATATCAATTCTCCACAATCTGTGGTCTATTTCTCTTAAGTTAAGTTTTGAGAATCTGGTGTTAAATGAAGCAACATCACATAGTTCATTTTGTTCTGCTTTCTCATCACTTTTCTGCAAGAAAAAGTATTGAATTTGCAGGCAGAAGTTCCTATTTGATCACTCCATGGAGGGAAAAAGTTAACTTGTAGTTGTGGGAAGTTAGATAGAAAGTTAATTGAATAAAGATACGATAAATAACTTTAATAGCTAGTCAATTTTTAAGTTATTGTTACACAATGGATTCTTCATCATTATTTGTGTGAATTAAATTCGTTAGATGATATAATGCTCTTTTGGTCCCAATATTTCTAATATGGGAAAAATACCTGGAAATTGAGCTTCACTTTGTTTTGTTTTTTTTGTTTTTTGTTTTTTGTTTTTTGTTTTTTTTCAACTTAAAGTGTTGGATGTGACCTTCCTTTATCAATTACATATTTTAATGTTTTCCTTGTTGTTATTCTTAGTCAGGTGAGATGGACATTGAGAATCATACAACAAAAGATGTTTGCCATCTGAAGTATGATGCTTACAATTATTTTGGAAGAGACACACCTAGAAAGGTAATGGCAGTATTTTTTCCCTGATATTTTATCTGTGGCCCTTTTAGTTGTTGGGGGGGGGAGGGGAGGGTGGAGCAGGGAGGTTGTTTTGTGGTAGGTGTGATCATGTGACAGTTGTCACAAGGGTACTGAGGATTTCAATATAACATCCAAGTGTTTGATAGAATTGGCTTTGAGTTGACACTGTCAATTTACATTTAATTAGTGACATACTTGCATTTTGGTAAATTTAAATGTGGCAACCCAAGCAATTTGAGTGTTGGAAAGAAAGACATTGTTTTCTTTTAGGTGACAGGAGTAATTACAGACTCTTCAAAAGTAGTCAGATATGTTATATCAGGAACATGGGACACTAAGCTGGATGGAGCCAAAGTTGTGTACCATAGATCTCCTTCAAATGTGAAGCAGCCAACATCTACTCCACACAAGAGTCAGGCACAGACTCTGCCACCAGTCACTTTGTGGAAGAAAAACCCACCACTGTAAGTTTAATTGTTGACAAACTTTGCCCAACAACAACTTAAAAGGATACCCTATGGGAACCTACTAGTGACATCAGATTGAATGCATCCTTATTAGTTCTGTTAACTATTTAATTAATAAATGATAAACACTACAGCATATACTATTGAATCATGGATGCATGCAGGAGGTTGCTAAGCAGGAAACTATTGCCTTGCACTATTCTTAGCTTCTTGAGTGCTTAGCAAACCTCCCAAGTGCATCCATAACTCAAAAGTGTGTGTGCTGTGGTGTTTACCTTTTTTTTTTTTAAACAGAATATTGACACATTGCGCTGAAAGAGTTCTCTTTTATGAAACAAATCATACATAACCAGAAAAAACAAAGGCATGAAAACTGGTCATTGTATATACTCATGTCAACAGTGTACACCCATGGAAATGAATACTGAATTGACCAATGAGAGTGTGCACTATACTTTGGTGATGTTATAATCAAAGATGTCATTTGATATTGATATTTCAAATGAGTTTTCCCAGCTACATGCATGATTTCTGCTGATGTAGGAACTTATATTTCAAAATTAGTTGTTGGTTAAAGACATCTGGATGTTGAATTGGCACTTTGGGTATGAGAAAATGATTTCCGTAGTATTTAATTATTTCCTCAATCATTTTGTTCTCAGGCCTGGTTGCGAGAAAATGTATTACTTCACTGAGTTTGCTCTTGCTCTCAACGAACCTGATGATAGTGTTGCCCCAACTGATTCACGGAGGAGACCAGACCAGCGGCTCATGGAAAACTGTAAATGGGATGAAGCTAATCAGGAGAAGCAGAAATTGGAGGAAATGCAACGACTAAGAAGGCGCAAGCGCGAGGCGGAGGCCTCAGAAGCACAGACAGAGGGAAAAGTTTATGAGGGTTACAAGCCTGTTTGGTTTGAAAATGTTGTAGATGAAGTGACAGATACTGCTGTGCATGTGTACAAAGGTGGCTATTGGGAAGCCAAGGAAAGACATGATTGGAGTCTTTGTCCAGAGATTTATTAATTAACGTCACCCACTCAGCTGTTTTCTAGATTCTAATAGACCACTGTCGTTAATGGCTGCCGGATTAATATTGTTTTGTTTAAATTTAAATTAGCCCTTCTGGCCTTGCTTGAGATAATGTATTCTTTTGAATTTTGCACTGGAGAACGAGGCCAGAAGGGCTAATTTAAATTTAAACAAAATAATATTAATCCGGCAGCCATTTATGAAAGTGGTCTTTGGCAGTAAGCTGGATATGATACAGGGGCGTAGCCAGGATTTTTCAAAGGGGGGGGGGTCACAGAGGCTACTCACCATTTACACCGCTGCTCTCCCACGTGTATCAGACCCATATTAACTAAATACAAGAGCTGTTGGTGAAAATACTTTACAAAAAAAACAAATTTTAAAAAAGTGGGCTTTTCAACTATGGCTTTTACGGCCAAGATATTGTCATGGTGTTTTTGCTACCTGAATATTGTAGGTTGTTTGCTCTAAAGAAGGCCTGCCAAAGGGGGTCACAGGCACNTCTTGTGATATCACTGCTTGTTTCATCACTTTAATATCTGGTCATCTTGGCTGTTTGGAAAGTTGCAAATGGTATATACATGTGGGTCAGACATTCTGTGGGTAAATTTGCTGAAGTGAAGTTGTTGAGTGACATCTCTGTTTTCCAACAAATGAAATATCTAGAGAGTTGATTTTTATAGTGTAAAACTGTAAATGCATTTCAACAGCTAAAAGTAGGCTACAAACAAACAAGAATGAACTTTGTTACTGAAAAGTACATCTAGTTTTATTCCTCAATACCGAAAAGGGGAAAAGTAGACGACATTTTGTTTCTGGAAAGATGCAGACAGATGCAATGCACTTGACTGATGAATAAGATTTGAAGATATTTTAGGATGGTAAAGTTCAATTTAGGTTTGCTGATGTACCAAAGGTTTCCTTACTTTGAAAGTCTTAAAAAAAAAAATTAAATACATTAATCAAAATTATCTTGTATGACAGAGTTTTCACACCGTGATTCATCTGAGAAATTTTATGAAATTCAGTGAGGTGCTATGTGACTGTAGAATTATTTATCAATTTTGCTTTGGACCGTGTTCCCCAGATGGCAGTCCTCGGCTGGATTAGAGATTAAAAAGAATTAATAATAGATTTCACAATTGTTTGTTTGAATTTCTGGTATTAAATTAATATTTAAGATTTAAAAAGTCAGATGTTTTGTTCTTTTGTGGTTTAGCTAAGGCTTATGTTCATTGATTCAGATTTAAACTAGAACTTTGTTTGAAGACACAGAACATTCTTGATCCGAGTGGTATTTAGAACTACTCTTGCATATAAAATTTTATATGGTCAAGCTTGCTAATGAGTTCTCTGAAGTTCAGGTGATAGACATTTGGACTACAAAATCTTAACTGACAGAGGTTAAAATCCTTAGTGGGGGTGGGGACTCAGATGTTGTTGGATCCCTGGTCCTGACAAATGTTCTGCATGTTTCCTGAAGTTAAGTCAGTTATTTTTAAGTGGAGTTGGAAGTCCCTGGTAGGGTTTTTGGGCCAGCAATTGACTCAAGTTACCATAGAGTTAATTATGAGTATCTATTATTTTGAGGCCATTAAATCATCTCCACAGGCAGTGGAACAGGTGAGGCATGGGAGGGGACAATACCCCTTGCTCTTACCCACAAAAAATTTATCCCTCTACCCTTTCACTTCCAGTTCTCAATAGTAATTCTCCTCACCATCTGCCATACGGTTCTTAAGATTTTAATTGGGAGAATTTGGTATTGGACCAACTAAATCTCCTAGTTGATGTTTTGCTTTATTCCTATCACTTGGCTGCTAGATATTTTATTGTAAGGAAAAATTATGTCTTGATCACTTCTGGGAGTTCTGGTTTTTGAGGCGGGGGTGGCATAGCATAGCATAGGATAGGCCTGACTAAGGACTTAAAAAACAACAGCAAACTTCCTGATTTTGCAAACTGGCTTTATTAACACAGAACAGAATTTAAACATCAGGGCCCAGTTGTTCAAAGGGTGGATAACGCAATCCAACGGGATAAATCGCCATCACCTCTTTATATGAATAGAGGAGAGAATTGGGGAAAGGGGGGCAGGATGCATCTCCAAAGAGATTTAGTTGTTTTTAGTCAAAGTGCAAAGATTAAGTTTGTCCTTGTAAGTTTCCTGGAAAGAACACCTGCAAATGCCCCTGTCCTCCATGAGTTGGTCAGACTGCATAAACCAGAAACTTGGTATGCATTGTAGATAGTACTGGGTGATAGAAGGTACTCATAACTGTGTTTCCAGAGAATATACCCCTTTATTTTGAGTCTTAAAGATGACCCTCTGATACCCAGCACCTTATTTATTGGGTTGAAATACGGTGTTTACTCGAATAAGGGTCACCGCACTGATTTAATTTTTCGCGCCTCAAATGCGGGGTTTTTTCCAGGGTGACAACCAGATTCGAGTAAAACGGTAACCTCTTTCACTGAGCTAATCAGAGGCAGCCGTCTGATTGATAAACACACTTGCATTAAAGCAGCCTGCATGAACATGCCTCGACAGTCCTTTCTTCTTGACCACTGGCTGGAAGCACAAGTGTTGTCAGTTCCCGTATCTGCCTCCCTCTTTCTATTTGTTCATTGATGGAGTCGACAAGCTCATCAAAACATTCAGTAATGTTGATATTCTTCTCAGTGCTTGTTTCAAAGAAAGGTAGTTGAAGGTGGTCTGCAAGAGTTTTTCCTTCCTCCGCTTGAACTTCTCGCAACTGGGACAAGTGGCATCTATTGCCCACCAGAATTCCTTTTGCATGTGGGTCACAGCATTTTCTCATTTCTTCGTGCCTACAGAAATTTATAATAACATTATGGTGAAATTGCGTGTGCCATCGGGAAACAAATGTTCAATCTTTAATTAATCACATTTTTCGTGTAGTGTGGGTCAGTCACGCGATTGTTTTGTGCGCGGCTCTCGATGCCAAACAGCAAAGCGAAACAGCTATTCCTCGACTGCAGACAAGATGATTCACCTATTTTCTTTGTTCTCGCCTACGAATCTCTTAGCGATTCGCCTGAATACTCTCCAATCACGATTGGATCAAACGACACCTCAGTCTTTCATAACATCATAAGAAAGCAGTTTTAAATACTTGAATGGTCTCGTGATTATGATCATATCATAGTTAGAAAAGGGTAGTAGCCATCTCTGTTACGCCAGAGGATCAAAAGAGAAAGAGGGATTTATTCAAACGCTAGAAGTACGAGAAATTAGACGGACTACTTCCGCTTTTCAACCAGCTTAAGGTGTGAAATGTATTTGTTGGTAAATTATCCAGTGGTTGTACCATGAACAAATGTAGTTCAACCTTTAATTTTGTTAAATATACAAGCCCTTCACGATCGTTCAAGCTTTGACCTTTTTGTGTGTTTGAGGACAGAAATTCAATATGCATCATGTCGATCACGCAATAAGAAAAATGTGCACATCGCCGCTGTATTTCGAAACTAAAACTTGTAGCCGACAAAAATTGTACTTACCAGTAACCAATATTGTGGAAAGACTCCCTATTTGTCACATCATAAACCAGAATTACTCCTACAGCGCCACGATAATAACTCGCCACAGCTGTGCGGAATCTTTCTTGTCCAGCTATATCCCAGATTTGGAGTTTGATCCTCTTTCCGTTCCTCTCCAAACTTTTTGCTCGGAAGTCTACACTTATGGTTGAGCTTGGCGCGTGATATTGATGACCAGTGTACCTGCATAGAAGGGACGTCTTTCCAACCTTGTAATCGCCGATGATAATGATTTTGAAGCAGTGATGGACCCAGTCATTAGACGGAGACCTTGCCGAAGATAAAGCCATTACACTCAAATGTTGTAAACAAACGTTTCGAAAGGGTACTGGATACCAATGCTCTCTTGCTCGTCACGCAAGGCATTCCCTGGCTTCGAGGGAGACTAAAAGATAAACTCATAGAACGGAAAGGACTGGAGAAACGGGAATTTTGGAATAATGCTATAGATACTAAAGGGAACGCAGAACGCGAGCTCTAGGGTTAATCATCTTCCTTTCTTTCCTGTTTACCTGTCACTTGTATAATGGGCGTCTGATTACTTATCAGAATTTTCATACAAATCTACAAGAATCCTAAAATTTTTAAAAGCGGAGCTGCAAGCTGATCAACAAATAAAAGAAAATACGAAACGGCAGTGCTTCAACTTTGTTTTCAGAATGGAGTTGGAAAAGATCACCATATCATGAACACTGAAAGACAACCGGTAGACGGGTGGAAGGGAAGGGGGGTCTGTTGGAAAATGAGCGGTGCACTGGCGCCGAGGAGAGCTGAGTTCTAGTTTACATCACGTTAAAGCTTAAATACTTCTTCACGGAACTCGCCCCATAATTTTGTTATAATCAGATCTGTTTACAGTTTTTTTAATCATGAGACTTCCTTTTGGGATAAGTGGCCCTAAAATTCCTCTTAACGTCAATTTCCTCGACGAGTGAATTTGAGAATTACATTTTATCAAAGACCTATGTAATGGAATATCTAGAATAAAAAATTAACTCTGATTTCTGGGTTTGCATTTACGGCTTAGTGCGAAGGGCGGTGTCTATACAAGAGTTTGTTTCATGATAAAGCTTGAATAAGTTTTTCCTTACTTATTGCGTAAAATTCATCATTCGATCTTTCTCTTTTTTTTAATATCTTTTAACGTCATCGCGCTTTCTTGGGCGATTTTTTGGAAGTTATTTTTATATTTCATATGTTACCCTTCAGATACAGCAAAAGTCGTGTAAGATCTGACAAGGAAGCTTAACATTAAATATTCATATCACATCGGGCTGGGCCTTTGAGTAATTTCCATGACAAATCACACACACATCAAAATAATGAATAACTAAACACGCGCTCTCGTTGCAATATATGACGTATTTTGGTCTGATTGGCTGAACCTTCAATTGCATATTCAAAGTGTAGGACACAGATCAAAGGCAATAATAATCAGTCACTAAATTTCGTCGTTGCTGCCAGATCTGAAATGCTCCCTTTTTCTCGAAGAACAGTTTCTTCCTGTGAATACCAGATGCCTTCGCTGTGAAGAAACTCTGTACGAACTTGTAGTTCATGGTAAGTAGCAAGTTACTTTGCAGTTTACTTTTCGTTAGCTAACAAACACTATCGCGAGGAAATTGTGCCGCAACTCGTACAACGTGAGTTTAGGAGCTCCGAGTTATAATTCAAATCTGTCCACGCCTGTAGCAACTTCTTCAAAACAGCGTGGAGCTCAAGGCTAACAATGACTTATAAAGCCGTAATATAATGTAACCCTTGAAGTTCCTTTCTCTCACCAAGTTCCGAACGCACTAACGCAGGTCTCGTTGGATCAAATACTGTACCAAATTTCGGAATAGACTATAATCAGTCCGAATATATTGAGTACAAAAAATACGTCTATGGCCGATAACGAATTTACATAGAACGCAACCACGGGCATGTTTGTTATAGTTGCTCTTCCAAATGCGCTGAGGAATTTGGAAAACACATTTGAAAAAAAAAATTCGTGTTTTACTGAGGTGGTTTTCGCACCATAACATAACACCATAAGCTCGCAACGCCCCACCCCTCCCTTACTCAATTTTCGTTAAGGACCTTTTAAAAAAGTATTGCACCAGCCAACCAACTTAACAATTGTTTTGCTCATTTTTATTTGAAGAAAGACCATGGGGAAAAAATGGATAAGAGAGAAAGTGAAAGAGAAGGAAGCGACTACAAAAGGATAAAGTGCAATCAAGAATGTAACGGAAGCTCTACAAAGATAAGATCTCTGAATCTGTTACATTATTCTTAGCTTAGGATAAATGGTGGCTGCCAAAAATTCTAAGTTTGCTAAGGAACTGCGCTTAATGTATTATACACTGGATAAATGGATTGTAAAGAAAGACCCGGAAAGAGTACCATATAGCCCCACACATTAATTATGCATTATACTTCGTTGTCATTCACGACAAAACTTTAAAAACAAAGTCTGCTAGTCTGAATGCATAATTAATCTATCGGGATTTAAAGTCGAAGGAGAGTGGAAGGAGTTGGTGAGTAGAAATTCTACAGAAGGATTTAGCGACTATGGCAGCCACCAGTAGGTGTGGACTTTTTTAAGTGGCACTGTTTAGCAATTGATATTTTAAGGAAAAATTTGAAGATTTGAAACAAGGATAGATCGTCCCGTTACTGCACTAACCAGGGACAGGAAAATTATTCAATTCTTTCTAAAAAAAAAAAAAAAACATCTCGTTTATCATACGAGCACCATCAGGCCACGAAACGGCATTTTATTGTTGTGGTTTTTTAGACTGTTTTCATGCAGAAAATATCCTTAGATTTGTTTACAGGTGCTTCATTCAAAATGTTGTCGACACAATAGTCAGTGCCGGTTAAAGATATCCACATATTTTCCGTTAATTCCTTGTAATGGAAAAGAGAACATTGGCAACCAAAACTACATTTAAAAAATTGCTTCTCCACTTTTTAATTTTTTTTTTTTTTGGCGTAAAAGAATGACCATTTACTTAATACTGGCTACGAAACATACCGCCATGTGAAAGATACGTTAACCGCTGTACATAACGACAGGATTCATTGACATGCAGAACGCTACGCTGACATTTATTTCGTCAGAGAAGAGAACATATTTTTTGTGGGGGGCGGGGGGACTGCTTCGAATATAAAAAAAGGACATACTAATAGATTACTGGACAAAACATTCTGTTGTGAGATATTTCACATAAGGGTACCAATGTGACCACTAATTTACGACCCATCGTGAAAACAAATACTCCAAAAACATGAAATTTAAACCGAACAAAATAGAACCTCGATATCACAAGATTAAACACAAGCCACTTGACCGCAGTAGGACGTACAGAACCATTGCACCGATCCTACCTATACTATGTATGACGTCACCAAACCAAAATTTAAGAATTTGAGATTTAAATAACTGACGAAAAAAACTTTCAGTAAGATCAAGTGCTCCAATTGCTAAGCCTCTTGGTTAGGAGGGACTGGCAGGAACCCAAACAAAACACTGAGCACAAAGTTGACATTGCTGAACAGTTATGTACGAGCCTGGCTTAAAACAACACATTCACTAACTTAAAACAGACTACTCAAAAAAAAAATGTGGACAGAGATTAGCTAGTACAGACACCTTACAAAAAAATTTATACAAGACATTAACGATTACGAACGCGACATGTAAAAGAACATAAACTAGCCAAATATAGCGGGCAAACATTGCTCCACGAACGCGGGAAATCCAATTGCCAATGTTCTCTTGTCGTATTAGTATTAGGTTAGATAAAACTTAATGTCTGGTTCATGAGACTCCAAGAAATTCAACTGTAAGCGGTTTTGAGTTAAAGTTATACAAACCACAAAACGGATCGTATGTACCCAAAAAGCTGTAAGGATTATCTTTCAAACCAAAGTGTTCACGTCTTCAAACTCGAGCTAAAAAGAAACAACTAAGTTTGCCTTGTAAACCAAAGGTTTTTCTCAGACAGGTCCGTGATTTACAGCAAACTTGAAAGTTACGGAGATCCAATTACGCTTTGTTTAATAAAAATCACAGTTTTTAAAGTGCTTATCAGTTTTCTCCTTGGGGGAAAAAATTCATCGAGAACAAATGAAATAAAAATTTCCAAAACAAAATATCTTCATTGACTATTAGGCTGGAAAGTGTCTTTTCAAGAATTGGACATTTCATGTTCTCCTAGATTAAACACCGAGAAAAAATGTTTTGCGATTTTAGTCTTGATTTGGTCTGTATAACGTATGGGAATTTTATCGTCATTTCGTATTGGTATGACATTGCGCGAAAAATATGTTTACGTTGAATATAATCTTTGAACCAGCCATTGGGTTTTATTATTTGTAACGTACAAAGACCTTTTTCTGCCCAGATTAATGTAACACAGGACTTACGGAAAGTTATGGAACTGAAATCTGAATCGCTAAAAAATAAAAGTTGACTAAATCAAAATCTTGCTGCAATAACGTGAAAATATAACAGGAGGCAATGAAATGTTTTGACAATCTGAACCATTGTTACTAAAATAAAAACAGCAATCTTGCCCAAAGAGAAAAATTGCGCTTGAAGATCATTTTGATTTTGTTTAAAGTTCATCTGTTTACTATTTTCGAAATTGTCCTGTGCAAAAAAAGCAAAGATCATGGATGGCTGAAAAAGGTCTTTTTCGTAACAACAAGGCAAACATTTAGAAAATGGAATTAGGAACTGCTTACTACAGCAAACACATTAGCAAGGAACAAGCAGACTAAATTTAGCTTGCCATGTTGCTTATCGTCAGAGAAGTAATGTTTAGACGTCATCTTGTGCAAAAAACTGAAAGGAAGGTAATATTTTGAGAAAATTAAGTTAAATTCAAGAAATTTTAACAAAGGATTGTTTAGCAAATTTTTATTGAAATTTTTGCACAAGGTGATCACGTATATTTTTGGCGGAAAATTTAAGGGAAGCCATTTTGAATTTTTTGTCGAAAATGTTGTCAGGGGAAACGCTGTGCAAATCGATCCAAATTTACCCGCCAAAAGTCTTAGTATATATTTGAACGAGTTTTGATTATTTAATGAAAATTCACTCAACTAATTAAAGAACATTAGAAGACAAAATATGCGTAACATTTTACAATAGAAATAAAGATCACAAACAGTCAACAAGAGTTTGTTGAGTTTTATTCAATGACAATGTAGAAATAAAGATTTATTATCTAAGGAAAATTTTAAAAAAACGACGCATGCGTATTTTAGGCGTCTGTATTTTTTTCTAAGTTTTTTGGCGGGAAAATTGCCACGTTTGAAAAAGGTGTTACTTACAAAGCTTATCATTTAAAAAAACTGGCGCTGCGTATTTTAGGCGCCCGTATTTCTAAGTTTTTTGGCGGGAAAATTTTAAATTTTGATAGTATTCTATTAAGGAAATATTTTTTAAAAAAATACAATCTCACAAAGAAAAATCCATTGTGCAAAGTATTACGGAAAGTCTCTAACAAAGTAATTCTGTCTGCTTAAGAAGAAATTTATCTAGACAACGCAATTAAATGGTTCTTTAAAGGCTGATAGTTTCGAAAGAAACTGTTTGGGGTTGCGTCGGTGGGAGTAACGAAATAATTTGGATATATCAACAAAGTTGAAATGGTAAATTGGCCACCGTAATGATTACAAAAGCTGACGTTTCGAGCGTTAGCCCTTCGTCGGAGCGAAGGGCTAACGCTCGAAACGTCAGCTTTTGTAATCATTTCGGTGGCCAATTTACCATTTCAACTTTGTTGATATATCTAAATGGTTCTTTACCTCGAAAAAGTTGAAAACAATAAACTGTAAAATTTGCCATTCAAAGCAAAAAGAAAAACGAAGGTGCGCAATAAACCCCAGCACTGCTTGCTTTTGAACAAATAGCTGACAAAGTATTTTTACAAATCAAGGTTTTCCGTGTGAAATGATCTTATTCATACAAAATATACTAATTCAAAACAATGATGATTGTGCAAATTCCTTAAATTTGGCTGAACCTTTTACTGAAGTAATGTAGCGTAACAGATAATTCTCATTCTCATCGTGAAGTTGTCCCTAAAAACTGAACATTCGTCAAGATAGTCTCCTTTTTTCAGTTTTTATTTTCAACATTTATCCAAACAACTTTCAAAGTTTTAAATCCTTCATTTTCTCCGCATACTTTCCTGAATTGATCAAGCTGAGGCACGCAATTCACATTACTGATTGTGAGCTTGTGTCTAAAAAAAAAGTCTGCATGGCCAAACTACGTCTTCAAATGTATGTTTTCATAATTTCTTCGACTCGACAATTGAGAAAAGTAAGAAGCAAGTCTAAATTACCACCTGGAAACTAAAGTTTGATAGAAAATTTTTATTATCGATTGATAGATTGGTTCCAAAGATTTGGTGATTCAAATCGTAGCCTAGAGTTAGTTCAATTGCAAATTTTTGAAAACAAACCGTCCAAATTGCTCTTTTCTTGTCAAAAATCTTTGCTCTGAAAGCTTTCAAAATTTGTTTGAAGCTAAGCCGAAAAACTGCGTTTAAAGTGCACCTTCGCAGCTTAATTTTATTAGGGTTTAAGTTGATCTAGTTTACGATTCTACCTTTGAAATGTGTACGCTTGATTTCAATCCATACACTTATCCATTCCCACTTTAGCTTCAATCCAGTCACGTGTCCGTTTTCCAATTTGATTCCAATAAAGTCACATGTCCATTTTCTACTTTGATTTCAGTCCATTTTCCAGTTTGATTTCAACCACTCACTTCCCGTTGTTTCCGTACAGCCACTTGTGCAATTGCCAGATTTAACTTGAAGTGACAATCGAAGAAACTTTGCATAGAATCCTAGCAGGAAAGGAAATAGAACAGCTTGTTAGATTTACCTTCCAAGACCAGAAATAATATCAAAGCTAGTTTCCATCGTAATGAAAATATAGAAACCTTGATTAACCCCTGAAATATCAACGAATAAAGAGTACATTAAGAAAAGTTTGCAACTTTTGATAATTACGCGTCCAATGTTGATAAACGAATACGTTGGAGCATTAAGAAAACCTGCGTTTGCTTTAAAGATCTTTAATTTAGACAAATCCTGTAAACTCGTAACAACAGTAGAGAACTTTTGCAAAAAAAATAAATGTGAGCAGTGACCTGAGCTACAGGAAATCCGAAGGAAAAATCAATTAAAACCAAGTTTTTTTTTTTTTTAAATCGGAACCTTCCCTTGCACAAACAACCTTTTAAAATATGCTGGGCGCTGATGCAGTTTATATCAGAGATGATTCCGGGAGAGTGTACCCCTTATCTCTGTAAGGACATACTCCTTACATAAAGTAGGAACCAAACAAAAGTATAAATTTAAACCATAAAAACATACATAACTTTTTCACCGCGCACGTCTCAAATATGAACCGTTTTGTGAGTGTTCAAATAAACCCTCTCCATGGAAAGTCGAAATACTTGCTCAATTGTCAAAATTTGGTGTCTTCAACTACATAGTTGTATCAATTCTTTAATAGGTTATAAAACATAAATGCGACAACATACCTGACCAAGAAGGAGCCCTGCTACTTTCTTCTCCGCTTCATGTCGTGAAAGCGTTTGCTTTCGTCCCTAAATCCACGTTTAGCACTTTTCTTCCAAACGAAGAGACTCATAGCTTCTCGTAGACTGGTCTCTGCCTGGTTCATATTCAGCAACAGCCAAACGTTCGGCGGGTTTTCAACGAACGACGCCATATTTTCCAACTCTTCGTAAACGTAATGGGAGCAAATGCATACTAAATGAACAAAGAGAGAAAATCATTTGCAATTCTGATAAAATAGGCAACTCTGCGCGAGGTCAATTCCCCATTTCAAAAACGAGTGGGGGAGTGGGTCGAGTTCACCGCGCAAGTTTGTCTGGAATCGTTACTTGGGACACGAATCTTTTGTTTACTATTAGAATACAGGCTGATAGTTTCTAAAGAAACTGTTTGGGGCTGCGTCGGTGGGGGTAACGAAATAATTTGAATATATCAACAAAGTTGAAATGGTAAATTGGCCACCGTTACGATTATAAAAGCTGACGTTTCGAGCGTTAGCCCTTCGTCGGAGCGAATAGAGGAATTGTGAATATTCACGCGCGGCGAATTTGACCCACTCCCCCACTCGTTTTCGAAATGGGGAATAGCGGACCAATACAGGACGGAGAGAGGAAGGGGGGGAGGGGGTGGGTGGGGCTTTAATTAGAAATCCGACAAAAAAGAAAAAAGAAGAAAGAATTAAACGAATTCATTCGATTTTGTTTCACTTTAAAACTTAAGCTTGAATGAATTCAATTTGATTTTGAGGCATTGGCAAAATAAATGAGATAAATCGGAGGCGGCTGAGTATCATAAAATGAAAGGGCCAATATGACTGGGTCAATGTGAGCGACCACGAAGAAATTTATTTTAAGAATCGCGACAGTGTATGTTATGCTTGTAATACTTTTATAATTAAACTCGGTTAGGCAATTCTCAGAAACGTGTAGAGGCCTTCTTAAGAGGAGAATTAATAAAACAAAGTTGGGAGTACATACCGCACACAAGTAGATTTCTGTCAGCTTAAATCTCCGGCTTGTTGTATGATTCCAGTTGCACCTGTAATGTGGCTTCTGTTACAAATAAAGACGAAATCTTTCACAGTCAACAGTTTCTAAGTCAAGTGAAATGATAATTTTCCAAATAGATAATAAGACTGACTGAGTATTGAACTACATAATAGAATTTTTTTATTCCTCGCCATATAGGGACAGAGAGTTAGAATGACAATGAAGGGTGCAATCCTTCTGAAGTAGCTAAAGAAACCAGGTGTTCATAATCACAAGCTTACTGTTGCGTTTTATGATCCAAGAAAGGAAAATGTCAGAACATCACACTTTCATGTTTGAATTTTATTAATTTTTTGGTCAGGAGAAACTGTATAAAATTGCACATGTAGGCATTTCTACCTTGTGGACAGAATTCAAATACTTTAAAATAATAACGAAGAACTTGCACCTCTCTAAAATTGTCCAAACACGAAAATTAATCTAATAAAACAGCTTTTTTTTGTGCTGGAGATTTACATTATGGTTAGAAATGAATATTCCTATCGTTTCCTCCTCTGAATTCTCATTTTTCTTTTTTTCACTTTGAAGTTCCCATAATAGAATTACGTACTTGAAGAGTTTCTCAAATACCTCTACCATCAGAACTGGCAGTGTCAGAAACCCTTACAGCTCCATGTATGCATGGCTACTCTCTTTCTCAAAGATATAACCAAAGTTCATCTCACAAGAGAGTTTATAGAGTCCAAGCATGAAGGAATGTTTTTCACACTAATGATATTGCCATTTTAAATTTGATTGGGTTGTTGCCTGGCAACATGTCTGGTCCTTAAGACAGCATTGATATCCCCCTTCGCATCATTTAACTGAATGATGCAGTTGTTAACTAAAGCCTGGATTCAAATGAGGTTCCTGCTTGATGCCCAATTCCAATCCATGGCATGATAAAGTTGATGCCTGAATAACCTCTTGTTTTCCACCCACAAATTATTTGTTAGATCACTTTGAACGAGGTGACACACAATCTGCAAACCATGCCACACAATCTGCAAACCATGCCTCACAATCGGTTGTGTCACCTTGAATCTTTACTAACATGTGTTATGACAGAGAAGTCTCAGACTAATAAGGATCATCATTTTTGCCCAGGTTCTCCATCTCATGTTGAAGTTCTTGAAGCAAAAGCTCAGCATGTTGATTGTTTTTTGCTGCCTCCTTATAAAGCTGTCTGGATTTCTCCCAGTTTTTCTCAACACCATATCCAAAGTAGTACATGTTTCCAAGATTGATCTGTAACAGAAAACAAAAACAAACAAATCAGTGCACTTCTTTGTAAAGAAGGAACAACTCAAAAAGTCATTCAACATATTTCTACATTCGTGAAGAGATCATGGCTTATGGTTTAGTGCCCTTGGTCGGACAAAATACCAAAACTAAACTAACTAGTATCGGGATCCCTCAGAAGGGCTCTAAACATAAACTAAGCTCAAGACTCTTTAGAATGGTTCTTCAGTTTAATCATAATGATTTCAGCTAGTTTGACTGTTTAATAATAATTTAATAAAAATTTATTTCTTATAGAGCGCTATTTACAATAACAGATCAATAGCGCTTTACAACTAATATCTCTAAATATTAAAATCTCATCTAATTAAAAATAATAATAATAATAATAAAATAATAATAATTACATATTACAGTTAAATTGGCTATATAGGATTCATAATTTAACTACTA